ACATGAGATAAAGAGAGAAGGAGAAAAATGTGCTGGGACGCTTCATATCCTCCATATAAGGCGTCCGGGCAAATTGATTGCACACTTGTTTCTGCTTTCGTTTTCACCCCACCCCAGTTCCTGCTCACTTCCTTTTTCCGTTTGCAACTATGAAAAATACGGTCGATTTTAAGACTTCCATTTCGATCGGTCAAAGTTCGGCACCCACCGATGGATCGGTCATCTCGGTCGGTCGGCTAAACTCCCCGATCGAATGGAAGCGTCGGTATCGTACTGATCACAACCCAACTATGAACATAACTCCGTTCAAAATTGGAGTTCTTTTCAATTTCGAGTCAATAGCAGATTGGTGAAAAAATTGCATAATTTCGAAATGTCCCAGGAGTCAAAACTCCTTACCATATCATCTCTCCGCCTGTCTTTTCACACGAATCACATTTTCGATTCGGATCTTGTGGTGGTGGAACATAGGATGACGCCGGCGTTGTCGATGTAGACGACGTTTCAGCGGGTTCCTGGAGGGAAATTGTATATAAAACTTTGTTGCTGAAAACCTAGACTATCGTAAAACCTGTAATAGAAGGGCCCTTTAACCTTCCACTTTGAGCCAAATTATCGGTTCCTGTCAAAGATTGTGAGCCTTTCTATTACAGGTTTTACGTTAGATTATCTAGTTTTTAGCCTCTAACACGGCATCATGGAAGGGAACCTCGATTTGAAATTTGGCATCGAGCCAAATTTTGTACGACGAACCGCACTTTCTTTAAGTGGCCGTGGCCTAGAAACCCCCGATTTTCCCCGTTTTTTAATGCCAAAAAATGATACGCATTTCTTCAGTTTATTTTGTGTCAAATCAAAAGGGGAAAATAGGAAAAGATCATCATAATTATGCAAGCGGTTGATTAGGAATAAAACCAAATAGGATATATGGAGGTACAACAAAAAAGGGAAGAAAGCACAAGCACAATATTGAGAGGGGGGATTAGCTGGAAACGGAATCTACCAAAGTTCCTTTTAGAATTTTTAGAAAAAACCTCAATCAAATTGGATAGTATAGAACTTGAGGAGTACTACAAAGTGATATGATTTGAATTACTGTACCTTGTCTAGTAGCAAAGTTACAAGTCATAAAGCCACAGAGGCTTCTCGGGTCCTAACTTTGCTCATAGATTAGATACCGTAATCCAAATACTATCCTTTTGTAGTACTCCTCAAGTTCTATCATACCTCATGTGTCTGGTCCCAAAATGATCCTAAAAGAAACAAGGATCCATTTCCAAATATAAATAAAACCAAGGGATAAAGTACAGTAACCAAACAAGCACAATATTGAGAGGTAGGATTAGTAGATTCCACCCGATCGATGCTTTTTAGTAGTGATAATTCTCGGCGTTGTCTTTTTCATTTCGAAATCCGTAGTGTCCGTTGTGTCTCGAGTATCGCTTCTAAAACCGAACAAAACCCGAATGAGAGGTACGAAAAAACAAAAAAAAAACATGCAAAAAACGTGCAGAAAAACCAACGAGAGCATTGAAAATCAGGCGGAAAATTGCAGTGATCAAGGCTGTCGAAAACCAGGTCTTGGTCCGGCTGCGGTCGAGGCCAATCCGTCCGTTCTATCTGTCTCAGAAGTACCGTAACCTGTTTTCGACAGACTTGATTTAAATCGAGAATGGGCTCATAGTTGGTCGAAAAACTTCTAAATCATGTTATTTGGATAATTTAACGCTCATTGTTTGAGAAAAATCTGGGATTTTTGGCTGTTTTGAATGGAATTTCAAACCAAATTTGGCATTAATTAGGTCATTTCCAGTTAAAAAATGAGCAATTTCGATTCTAAATCAACTATTCACATGCAGCAAAATCATGCATTTTGGACACAAATTTTTGGTCAAATTCCTATACGACCCCATTCATTATTTGTCCTCCCACAAAAAAATTACCTGTTTAACAGTCTGATTCTGATTCATCATGGCTTCTCTCGCCCCTCTCATCGCCTCTTCTCTCTCCTGACGAGCCAAATCCTGCTGAGCAATGTTCAACGGCGGTGGAGATGGTTCACGACCGATCGGGAACAGGTGCGTCGAGTCGATGACCGTTCCGAGTGGCAGACGATTCAATTCGTCTTTTGTGAACTTTTTGTAGTACGTTTGGTATTGTCCAGGGATCAGGGCGACCGGGTAGGGACCTGGACGAGTCGCGTCGGCTTTCATCACTTTCCACGAGTTGCGACGAGATTGGATGATCTGGAAATTGCAGATTTGGCATTAAAATGGCTGAAATTGAGCTCGAAAAATAGATGATTGTTAATTAAAAGTTCAGGTCTAACTTGCCATCAATTACCGTAAAACCTGTAGTAGAAGGGCCCCTGTAATAGAAGGGCCTCCTGTAATAGAAAGGCCCTCTGTGAAAAATGCCCTCCCTTCAAGATATGTTTTGAAACCCGAAAATTACAGTACTTTTTCGGTGGTAAATATTCCGGGAACTCCACAATTTAATAGAAATTTCTGGAAACTCTATTTTTTCGATAAAAATATTGCTAAATTTTGGTGAAATTGGCAGATTTTCATAAATTATGAACGGAACTTTTTCGATGCGAATCTTCGGGAAAAACTGGTCGGACAAATATAAGGGTCCCCTCTAATTGAAGGGCCCTCCGGAGTAACTTGGAACAATAGAAGGGCCGGCCCTTCTAATAAAGGTTTTATGGTAGGTCATTTTTCAGGCTAAAAAAATTTTCGGATCAAAAATAGATATACTGCCATAGGAAAACTGATAAGAATAATGGATTTTTGTGGGGGAACTGGAGCTTGAAAATCGCTTTTTTTTGGGATATATTATGCATTTCGAGCTATTTTTTTCTAATTTTACACCATTTTTCTAACTCTGGCTGAACTGAATTCAATCAAAATAGGGTGAAACTAACTAAAATTTTAGACGGAAAATTTAGGTAATGACTCAAAAAATCACGAATTGATTTTGTTTTTCGACAGAAGATATCAAAATTCCGATCAAAATCAGAGGAAAATTTTGTCGAAAATGTGATCCAAAGTTGCTCAAAAAACCCACATTCGTCTGAATGTCCCAAAAGTGTTTCCGCTCGTTTCGCCGTTGACTTTGAAGGTCCTTGTTGAAGTCGACAGCGCTTTGAACGGCCTTTTTGCGCAGCTCCGCCAGTTTTCCAGCGTCGTTTTTGATCTGAAAGTCGTGAATAGGTCTAAAAACTGTCATTTACAGCTTAAAACTTGACTTTTTCTGCTGAGAGTGTTAGAAAATAGGTTCTGGAGCAAGTTGAGCCAGTTTTTGGCACTTTTAAGGACATGTTTCACTATTTTCATTCATTTTTCCTTACTAACCGCTTCCATTTCCTTGGCCTTTTCCATCTGAGCCTCTCGCTCTCTTTGGGCGACGACCCGCTTGTATTCCACGTAGATATCAAGGAAATCCGACTGCATCATGTCGTGAATCTCACTGGCACGCATTGCGTTCATGTCGCGGAGCACTGAAAATCGATTTTCAGAGGTAAATAGGTGAAAAATCGAGAAAAATCAAGATTCCAGCTTTTCTAGGGTGAAAAACTCGAATTTTCAGGACTCTTGAGTTAAAAATCGTCATTTCAGGCCTATTTTTCACTTACAAGTCTCATTCAAAAGTCTATGAACGCCATAATTCCACTCCAAGAACTCTCTCTCCTCGTGATTCACTTTTCGCCGCGAAAAATCTGGGTATTTCCGTGAGAATGACTTAATTCCGAGTAGCTCGCCAATCTGCTCCTGTATGAACCAGCGATCGCCGGATTTCGCTGGCCACTCGTATTCAATGATGTCTCTTGCCTCGACCTGAATGGAAAAATAGAGAAAATAAACAATTTTATGGATTTTTGAGGAGTAAATGTTTATAAATCGCACCTTTCGATGATTCACATCGAGCATAATATAAGCATTCTTGTTGTACGTCTCACGACGCGATGAAATTGGAGCCGGTGTTGATGGTTCGGTAGAAGTCTCGGGTTCCGTTGAATCGGCGATTTCCGGCGCGGAAATGTTACTTTCCTCGTTTACAACTGGGTCTTCCATCTGAAAAATGACAAAAATCTGTGAGAAAATCCCGACAAATCCTGAAAAAATCAATTAGAAAAGTGAAAGCGATTCAAAATGCAGCTGTGGTGTTTGCGGAGTCTCTTCAACACCCCCACGCGCAACTGCGGACCCGGGCATTTTAATTGACGAACAATAAAATTAAATGATTTATTTTTCGAATAATCAAGGAAAAGTGAAGTAAAACGATGGAAAACAGGAGAAAAAACAATATGTATGAAAAGAGCGCTAAATTCTTGAAAGAACAACATAAATCCCATATTTATGGCTGCGCAAACATTCCTACAAAAAAGACACATTTCTTTGACGTCTTCTGAATGCGAATGTGTGTCTCATTTTCGATTCTTCAATTTTTTTCCGAGAAAAGAGAAGAGCGGAATTCGTTTTCCTTTGTTTCTCGAAACTCATTATTTGAAAAGAGCAAAGTTCAGAAATTCAGAGAAATTTTAAATTTCTTTAAAAAATAATTCTTTAAAAAAAATGAAAGTCGAAATTTTTTCATTTTCCAGGCTATCTATTTTCAGAGCTACTTCCTCATTTATAGACTTTCAGATTTTTTTGAGTTCTTCAGAAGACCGACGTCTACTGGTCCGACGTCTTCTGATGATGAGGTCATCATCATCAGAAGTCATCACTAATGCATCTGGTGTTGTATTCAGAAGACTTCTCCTTTTTTTTTGTGTTTTTGTACTAATCCCTCTCCGCTTTTTTTACACACCACTAGTTTCTTTTTTTTCAATTATTCTAATTTTCCTTTTTTTCTTTTTTTTTTGTGAAATTCAGAGCTTCTGAATGTTTGCAATTTTCGATTTTCCAAACTTGATTCATGGATTTTCATATTTTCTGAATTTTAGAATTTCCAAAAATCTTTTTAGAAATCTAGCAATTTTGGAAATTTTTAATATTAAAATTTCAAAAATTCTGAAAATCTATAAATACCCAAAAAATTCCAGAATTCTAATTTGGAGTTTTTGAATTTTTCGGGCTTTTTCCCGAATTTCGGAGGCCCTGCCCGGCCCGGCGGGCCATTCCACAAGTTTTGAAAATTTCAAAAAACACATAAGGGGGACCCTTATGTGATTTTTTTCGAGTTTTTTTTAATTTTTTGATCAAACAGACAAACAATCCAAAAAGCACAAAAAAGATATAGAAAATTGTATTGAGAGCTCAAAATTCGGTTCAAAATGACAAAATTTTTGCTACCGGGCCCGGGCCTTGAAATTGTCCTCAGGCCCGGCCCGATGAGAGGGGCGAGAGATCATTATTTTATTAGGTTGGAAGGAAAGTAAATGTCTATGTTTTGATTCGTGAATAACACAAAACCAAGAATTATCTAATAGTAAGATTGGCAGTATGCACCGTCGTGGTCCACAACATGCTGACAACATTCAGGTAACTTGTGGATACCATCCCTCCAAAAGCCAGCTGGCTGCGACTCAAAGTATTTTTTGAGTCCAGATTTTATCTCATGTACAGTGTTGAACTATTTCCCTCCATATGAAGTTGCATATCTCCTAATAAACAATAATGAAAAGGCCCAAATCAGGAGTTGGAGGGGCATAGGTGAGAATCCTCAAGCTGAAGCTGTCCAGGTCTTACTTGACTCTCCGTGGAACATTGGATCTCGCGTTATTTAAAGGAGGCGAGACAGCAAATATTTCGGGGGACTGTTTGGGGGACGAAATCGCGCCGCGCTTATGTAGACCATCGGTCGTCAGGCGCCTTCGCGCCCCCGTAGCTCAGCCGGTAGCGGCGCTGTACACAGGTCCTGGGCGATGATGCGCATAAAGGACCCGATCCATATGCGATCCTCTAGAAGTCCGTTTGACACATATCGCGAACAACGAGCTGCGATGAGTCTCATATGTGTGCGATGCGGGAGAGGCTGAATCGAGTGTTCCGAATGCGCGCATATCCTAGATGGATTCTGGGTGGGTGGGCGATGTGTGCGATATGGGTCTGATACGGTAGGCCGACTACAACACTCCGAAATCCCGGATGCGCCCATTGTTTACCGTAAATCCACACCGGCAACTTTGTCAATTTTTCGTCAATTCGAGCCTACATTTCTGGTTTTTCGATTATTTCTTCGATGTTTTTTGTGAAAAAGAGTTATGGCAGAATAAAAAATCGCTGAATTCTTTCAGAAACATGTCTTTCACTCGTTAATTGCTATTTTTTTCGCAAAAATAGGTGATATTGAGATTTTTTGATTTCACTTTGTAATTATTGTAAAAATCGTATTTTCAGGTGGAATAAAAGGTAAGTTGGTAAGTATACAATAATTACAAAGTTTAAATTATAAAAATTTTCAATTTTTCATGCAATTTCAAAAAAAGTGAAAGTGAGATTTTTTTTGAAAAAATGAAAAAAAAACAATTTTTAGCGAATTTTTTCCCATTTTCTTCTGTTTTTGATTGCTTATCAAATTTAAATGGAAACTGCCATAAGTCTTTTTCAAAACCAAAACATTGAGTTTCAAAAAATCAGTAATATGTCGTTCAAAATATAAAAAATATGGAATAATAAAGGAAAAGTACGAAATCGGAAGACCTGAACAAAATCACATCACAATAGAACTTAACTGATACTTCTAGGAACCCCCAACCAACGTTTTAGTTCATTTCATCGAGTGCCAGCAAGCCAGGCGAGGAGATGCTTTGCGGCGGCGGTGTGCCCCATATGCCCCGTATATGCCCCATACCGGCGTCCTTTCCCTGTACCCAATTCATCGGCGCGTCCTCCGTCGCCCATCCATTATGCGTATGCGCGCCCAGGACCTGTGTACCCCTGAGTTGCCTGTCATGAGTTCACCTCTCATGGGGGTTCTCTATGCAAAATATCAGGAAAACTTTTTTTTTGATGTCTGGCCTCCTTTAAGAAAAATCAATTCACTATCAGTCCTAAGCCGCTTTGAATGGACGGCTGTCCACATTCCTCAAACTCCAGACCCTTTCATTATGGGTTATTCGAAGATATGCAATGTCATCTGGAGGGAATTAGTTCAACACTGTAGTTGAGATAAAATCTGGAGTGAAAAAATACGTTGAGTCGCGGCCAGCTGGCTTTTGGAGGGACGGTATCCACAAGTTACCTGAATGTTGTCAGCATGTTGTGGGCCACGGCGGTGCATACTGTCAATTAGGGATAGTTCTTGTTTTTGTGTTATTAACGAATTGAAAAAAGGACAGTTACTTTCCTTCCAAACAAAATCAGAATTTCAGAATTTTTGAACTTTGAATTCTGAACTCCGAATTTCTGAAAAAAAAATTCTGAAACTGATTTTCTATATTTCTCCTGACTTTTCGAAATTTCGGTATTTTTTGTTAGAATTTTCAAAGAAAAAAGTTTCATTTGAAAACGAGAGAGTCCCTGATGTGCTTCCATTTCTCCCCTCACAAAATGTTCTTTTCTCTTTCGAATTTTCGGAAAATTTTCGAAGAATTTTGAGTGATCATCGCCTCGTTTTTCTCACCATTTTGTCTCCCCAAGGGACCGTTTGAATTCTCTCTTTCTGAGCACATGATGCCTTCAAAAAAAAGTTTTTCTTTTTTTTTTTGGATATTGGGGACCTCCTGGTACCCTATGGACACCCTCTTTTTCTCTATTTTCCCCGATTTTTTTTTCTCGAAAAAAGGAGAGTTCTTTTGTTTTTGTTACAACGTTTTTGTCACTTTTTTCAACTTTTTTTTTTGTTCCGGATTTTTTTTTGAAAAAATGTTTTTGTTGTTTTTTTCAAAGGATTTTTGGAATTCTGGAAGTTCAGAAAATCAAAATAAAATTCTGAAAAAATAATGAAGAAATGAAAGAATTTGAGAATTATCAACTGGAACAAAAATTGTAAAAATTGAATTCTGAAGTTTTTGCAAAAATTCCAAAAAATAATGAAGTATCCTTGAAAAAATCTATAAAAAATTCTGAGATTTTGAAAAAAGAGTTTTTCTTAGAAAATTTTGTAAAACTTTAAATTTTAGAATTCTCTGAATTTTAAAAATTTTCGAAATTCAAAAATTCGAAAAATTTTAGAATTTGTTTCAAAATATGAAACTTTAGAATTTCCAAAAACTTAAAATTCAGAAACACAAAAATATTCAAAAAATTTGAATTTCTGAAAAACTTTGAAAATTTTCCAATTTTCAAAAATCTCAAACATTAAAAATTGACTGATTGAGAGCTGGAAATTTAGAGGACTAGGATTTTCACAGTTTTCAAAAATTCGAAAAATCGAAAATTCGGAAAATTAGAAATCAAAAGTTTTAAAAATTCAAATGTTTAAAAGTTTTGAAATTCACATATTCTCAAATTCGAAAGTTCCCAAAAACTCGAGAATTCGAAAGTGGGGTTCTAAGAAACTTGAGTCCTAAGAATCCTAAATCAAAATAATCCTAAAAAACTTGAAATTCGAAGAAAACATCATTTTCAGCATACTTGTAACGGGCCGGGCGGGCTTTTTTCCAAATTTCGTAGGCCCGGCCCGGCCCGCGGGCCCGTCATTTCACAAGTTTTGAAAACTTCAAAAAACACATAAAGGGGGACCCAAATGTGATTTTTTTCGATCAAAAATTTTTTTTCGAATTTTTCCGAATTTTTTTGATCAAACAGAAAAACAATCCAAAAAACAAAACGAAAAAAATTGATAAAAATAATATTAAGAGTTCAAAAAACACAGGATTTTTGAAACCGGGCCTTCCGGGACTGCCCGGGCCTCGGCGGGCCGTCCCGGAATTTTACAAGTATGATTTTCAGAAATTTTAAAATTTGAAGTTCCAAAAATCTGACGATTGAAAAGTTTTCGCTTCAGAATCGTGAAAACGCGAAAATTCAATAATGTGATGATTCAGAAGTTCAGAAATTCCAAAGTCAGAAATTCCGAACTGCAAATTTCCGAACATTCCTATTTTCCCGAACTTCCCAATTCTTTCGACCTTTTCACTCATTCCATTCTTCAAAATCCATTCTTTCCCTTCTGAATCCGTCTT